TGGTCTCTCTCTCTGGTCTCTCTCCTAGGGGGTCTCTCTTGGTCTCTCTCTGGTCTCTCTGGTCTCTTGGTCTCTCTGGTCTCTCTCTGGTCTCTCTCTGGTCTCTCTCTGGGGTCTCTCTCTGGTCATCTCTCTGGTCTACTCTCTCTGGTCTCTCTATGGTCTCTCTCTGGTCTGCTCTTTGGTCTCTCTCTGGTCTCTCTCTGGTCTCTCTCTGGTCTCTCTCTGGTCTCTCTCTCTCTCTGGTCTCTCTCTGGTCTCTCTTGGTCCTCTCTCTCTGGTCTCTCTCTCTCTCTGGTCTCTCTCTGGTCTCTCTCTATGGTCTCTCTCTCTGGTCTCTCTCTGGTCTCTCTCTGGTCCTCTCTCTCTGGTCTCTCTCTTGGTCTCTCTCTGTCTCTCTCTCTGGTCTCTCTCTGGTCTCTCTCTGGTCTTTCTATGGTCTCTATCTCTATGCTGGTCTCTACTCTCTCTGGTCTCTCTGTCTGGTCTCTCTCTAGCGCCTCTCTAAATCTGGTCTCTACCACACACACACACACCACACACACACACACCCACACACCACACACACACACACACACACACAACACACACACACCACACACACACACACACACACACACACACACACACACACACACACACACACACAAAACAATCGGAGCAGGGCTAAAAATACATACAGAGGGACCGGCGCCTGTGTTGCGTGATCGTCTGTGGTGTCTGTGTGTGTCTGTGTGTCTTTGTATTTGTGTCTGTGTCGTGTGTTGTGTCTGTGTGTCTGTGTGTGTGTGGTGTCTGGGGCTTTTTGTGTGTTCGCGGCTGTGTGTGTGTGTGTGGGTCGAGCTTGTGGTGTGTGTGTGTGTGGTGTGTAAAGTTGTATATTTACATTCAAAATACCATAGTTTATTTATTTACGAGCGCGACGGAGCGAGGGGACAGAGACAGGTGCCATAAGGAAACTTTCTTTGTGCCAAGAGAGTACTAGAAGAGACCAGAGAGAGACAAGAGAGAGACCAGGAGAGAGACAGAGAGAGACCCGAGCGACCAGAAGAGAAGCGACAGAGAGAGAACAGAGATGAGCCCTGTGAGAGAGCCGACAGAGACCAGAGAGTGAACAGCGAGCGACAGAGAGACGAGACAGAGGAGACCAGAGAGAAGTGACCAGAGAGAGACAGAGAGAGACCAGAGAGAGACCAGAGAGAGAGACCAGAGAGAGACCAGAGAGAGACCAGAGAGAGACCAGAGAGAGACCGGGAGAGTGACCAGAGAGGAGACCAGAGACGTGACCGGAGGACCAGAGAGAGAGACAGGAGAGACCAGAGGTGACCAGAGAGCTGACCAGTGATTGACCAGAGAGAGACCAGAGAGCGACCAGTGAGCGACAGAGAGAGACCAGAAGAGAGCCCAGACAGAGACAGAGAGAGACTGAAAGAGTGACCGAGGATCGAGACCAGAGGACGAGGACCAGAGAGAGACCAGACAGAGGAGGACCAAACAGGAGACCAGAGAGAGACCAGAGAGAGAGGACCAGAGAGAGACCATAGCGAGACAGAAAGAGAGACCAGACAGAGGACCAGAGAGAGACCAGAGAGAGACCAGAGAGAGAGACCAGACCGAGACAGAGAGAGACCAGAGAGAGACAGAGAGAGACCAGATAGAAGAGACCAGACAGAGACAGAGAGACACCAGAGAGAGACCAGAGAGTGACCAGAGAGAGACAGAGAGAGTGACCAGAGAGTAGACCAGGAGAGCGACCAAGAAAGTGGACCAGAGGAGGACAGGAGAGAGAGACCAGGTGAGACCAGAGAGACGGACCAGAGAGAGCAGAGAGAAGACCAGAGTGAGACCAGAGAGAGACCAGAGAGCGACCAGAAAGAGAGACAGACAGAGACCAGAAGAGAGACCAGAGAGAGGACCAGAGAGAGTCCAGTGAGATGACAGAGCGGAGACAGAGAGAGACTAGAGGTGACCAGACAGAGACCAGAGACAGACCAGAGAGAGAGACCAGACCAGAGACCAGACAGAGACCAGAGAGAGACCAGAGAGAGAGCAGAACAGAGACCAGAGAGACCCAGAGAGGAGACCAGAGCGCGAGACCAGATGAGGAGACCAGAGAGAGAGACCAGAGAGAGACCAGAGATGAGGACCAGAGAGAGAGACCAGACAGAGACCAGAGAGACCAACCGAGAGCAGACAGAGAGTGACCAGGAGATAGACCAGAGAGACAGGACCAGAGTGAGACAGAGAGTGACCAGAGAGAGACAGAGAGAGAGACCGAGAGACAGAGAGAGACCAGAGAGAGAGCCCTGACAGAGCCAGGAGACACCTGAGAGGACCAGAGAGTGACCAGTGGAGAGACAGCGAGAGAGACCAGAGAGAGACCAGCGAGTGAGACCAGAGAGGAGGACCAGAGACGAGACCAGAGAGAGAGACAGACAGAGGCCAGAAGAGAGACCCAGACGGAGTGGACCAGACCGAGGACAAGAGAGAGACCAGAAAGTGACCAGAGAGAGATCAGAGAGTGACCAGAGAGAGACAGAGAGAGACCAGAGATGAGACCAGACGAGGGAGACCAGATGAGAGACCAGAAAGAGAACATAGAGAGGACCAGAGAGAGAGGACTAATTTCTCTCAAACTGCAATTTCTAAACCTAAAATGTTTCGGTAAGCCGAGCTTTGTTTTTTGTAGATGTTGTGTGTGTTATGTTTGTCGCGGTTGGTGTGTGTCCATGTGTGTGTGGGTGTCCGTGGTGCCAGTGTTGCGTCGTCAATGTGTGTGTGTGTGGTGTGGTGTGTGTGTGTGTCCATGTGTGTGTTGTGTCGTGTGGTGTGCGTGTCCAAGGTGTGGTGATGTGTGTGTGTGTGTCGTGTGTGTGTGTGTGTCTCGTTTCTCGTGCGCTGGATTATAATTCTCTTCATCATTATTGATGAAGTGAAAGTTATAGCGTGGCTGAATGTGCTGCGTGGGAGATTTGTGGCTAATCCAGCACAAAACAGCCCAGTCACATAATGAAGAGGAGACGCACAAAATGTCAAACAGTTAACACCCAGGGACTGGATTCAGATGGCCACACACACAATACCACCACCCACAACACACACACTGAGAGCAACAAGTGAGCTTCCTTATATTTGGTGGGATATGTGATATGGACAGAAGTGAGACCAGAGAGAGAGACCAGAGAGAGACCACGGGAGAAAAAAAAACCAGAGAGAGACCAGAAAGAGACTAGGGAAAGACCAGGGACGAGCAGAGAGAGACCAGAGAGAGGCACCCAGAGAGCGACCAGGGAAGACCTAGGGGAGACCCAGAGAGAGACCAGAGAGAGACCAGGAGGACCAGGGAAAGACCAGGGATCTGAGAACCAGAGAGAGACCAGAGAGGAGACAGAGAAGAGGTCCAGGGAAAGACCAGGGAGAGCCAGAGGAGAGGACCAGAGAGAAGAGACCATGGAAAAGCCCAGGGAGAGACCAGAGAGAGACCAGAGAGAGGGAACTAGAGTCATGGTCCTGTATCTGACCCTTTCAGTGGGCGGAGCAGGAAGGGCCTGAGGGCAAGTTTAATGTGTCGCACAGTACATACAGAAAGACAATCAAAACAAACAGAAACATTAAAATACAAAGAACTAGAATCTAAACAACCAGAGAGAGGGACACGGACTTATCCTGGTCCGGGTTGATGGTGTTCTCACCAACTCGCCTCAGCGCTCCTGTACTTTTTTAGTTATGGCTCGGCCCCGGTTCTAACGAGTCAATATCACACAATCGCATCCACCACACACATCATACTGAGCATGTGTTTTGTGTGTGTAGTGCCAAGTCCTGCCAGCCAGTCCAGTCCAGCCCAGTTCGTCCTGCCCAGCCAGCGCAGTCCAGTCCTGCCAGCCAAACGTCCGCCAGTCTCTAGCTAAGTCCAGTCCAGTCCCGCCCAGTCCAGTCCACATGCATGTTCATGATACCAGTGATTTTCACCTATATCAATAACTGAAATTTGTTGTAGTAAACACGTTAAGGAGGTCACTGTGAGTCTGAGACTGGTTCCAATCTGGGACATGAAGCGACTTTCTCTGAGTTGAGGGACGTTCTAACTCTCGAGACATGACAAGGGACTTCTCTGAGTCTGAGACCACTGTTCCAACTATGAGACCATGAAAGCGACCTTCTCTGAGTCTGAGACTGTTCCAACTCTGGAGACATGAAGCGACCTTCTCTGAAGTCTGAGACTGTTCTAACTCTGAGACCCTGAAGCGACTTCTCTGAGTCTGAGACTAGTTCCAACTCTGAGACCAGGAATGCGACTTCTCTGAGTCTGAGTGGGGGACTGTTCTAACTCTGGGACCATGAAGCGACTTCTTGAGTCTGAGACTGTTCCAACTCTGAGACCATGAAGCGACTTTTCTGAGTCTGTGCCGTTCTACACTCTGGAGACCATGAAGCGACTTCTCTGAGTCCTGAGACTGTTCTAACTTCTGAGACCATGAAGCAGACATCTCTGAGTCTGAGATGTTCAAATCTGAGGGGACCATGAGCGACTACTCTGAGTACAGAGGACTGTTCTAACTTCTGAGACCATGAAGCGACTTCTCTGAGTCTACACTGTTCTAATCTGAGACCATGAAACGGACTTCTTGAGTCTTAGGGACTGTTCCACTCTGAGACATGAAATTGAAGCGACTTCTCTGAGTCTGAGGACTGTTCTAACGCTGAGACCATGAAGCGACTTCACTGAGTCTGAGACTGTTCCAACCTCTTGAGACCATGAAGCGACTTCTCTGGAGTCTGACCACTGTTCTAACTCTGAGGACCATGAAAGCGACTTCTCTGGTCTGAGGACTGTTCTAACTCTGAGTCCATGAAGCGACTTCTCTGAGTTGAGACTGTTCTAACTCTGAGACCATGGAAGCGACTTCTCTGAGTCTGACACTGTTTCTAACTTGAGACCATGAAAGCGACTTCTCTGATGTCTGAGACTGTTCAAACTCTGAGCCCATGAAGCGACTCTATGAGGTCTGAGACTGTTCCCACACTCTGAGACCATGAAGCGACTTCTCTGAGTCTGACATCTGTTCTAACTCTGAGACATGAAGCGACTTCTCTGAGGGCTGAGACCTGTTCCAAACTCTGAGACCATAGAAGCGAATGCTCTGAGTCTGAGCCTGTTCCAACTCTGAGACATGAAGCGACATCTCTGAGTTGTGGACTGTTCCAACTCTGAGACATGAAGCGACTTCTCTGAGTCTGAGACTGTTCAACTCTGGACACATGAAAGCGCCTTCTCTGCGACTGGACAACTGTTCTAACTCTGAGGACATGAAGCGAGCTTCTCTGAGTCTGAGGACAGTTCCAACTCTGAATACATGAAGCGACTTTCTGAGTCTGAGACTGTCCAACTCTGAGGACATTTGAAGGACTTCTCTGAGTCTGAGACGTTCAACTCTTGAGACCATGAAGCGACTTCTCTGAGTCTGAGACTGTTCCAACTCTGAGACATGAAGCGACTTCTTGAGCGCTGGTCTTGTTCCAACTCTGAGGTGGTATCTGGTTGTATCATGGCTTTCTTTTGTATCAAGGTATCTTTAGTCTGAGTCCTAGTCTAGTCCACCCTAGTCCAGTCCGTACCATTCTAGTCCATTCAGTCCAGTCCAGTCCAGTCCGTCCATTCGAGACCATTCAAGACATTGAGTCCAGTCCAGTCCATCGAGTCCAGATAGGTCTGCCGCAACAGGATTTCAATCTCACCTTCATCCAAGCCTTTTTTGGATAATTTACAAGAAGGAAGCATGTTCATTGTGCCATCAACCGCCTCCGCCCCAACAGAGAGAGACCAGAGAGAGGCCAGAGTAGTGACCAGAGAGGACCAGGGAGAGACCAGACAGAGAACCCGAGAGAGACCAGAGAGAGGACCAGGGAGGAGAACAGAGATGCGACCAGTGAGAGACCCGGGAGAGACCAGAGAGAGACCTCGAGAGAGGGACCAGGGAGGAGACCAGACAAAGACCAGCGACCGAGACAGGGTACGAGCCCAGAGAGAGACAGAGACTGGAGACAGGGAGAGGACCAGAGAAAGACCAGAGAGAGACGACCCAGAGAGAGACCAGGGACGAGACAGAGAGGAGACCACGAGAGAGACCAGAGAGAGACCAGGGAGATGTCAGAGACACAGAGAGAGACAGAGAGAGACCAGGGATCGATGACCAGGGAGTGAGGACCAGAGAGAGGCCAGAGACGAGACCAGGGAAGAGACAGAGAGAGACCAGAGAGGTCCAGAGAGAGACCAGGGAGAGACCAGAGATAGAGACCAGGAAGAGCCCAGATGTGAGAGCCCAGAGAGAGACCAGGGAGGGGGGGGGGTAAATGAGACCAGAGAGGAGACCAGGGAGAAACGAGACCAGGAGAAACCAGGACGAGCCCAGACATTGAGACCAGAGAGACCAGAGATGAGACAGGAGAGAGACCAGGGAGAGACCAGGGGAGGATGCCAGAGACTGACGACAGGAGGGACCAGTAGAGAGACCACGGAGAGACCGAGAGAGACCAGAGAGACCGAGAGAGACCAGAGCGACCAGGAGACCAGAGGAGTGACCAGGGAGCGACGAGAGTACCAGAGAGAGACCAGGAGAGCGACCGAGGAGAGTTCAGAGAGCAGACCAGCGAAGTACCAGAGAGAGATCAGGACGAGACCAGAGATGAGACCAGGGACGAGACCAGAAGCGATACCAGAGATAGGCAGAGAGAGACAGGAGATGAGCCAGAGAGATACCAGAGAGAGCCCCGGGAGAGACCAGAGAGAGACCAGGAGGAGAGACCAGAGCGAGGACCAGGGAGAGACCAGAGAGAGACCAAGGAGAGAACAGGGGGAGAAACAGAGGAGCTAGAGACCAGAACAAGAGAGACCAGACAGAGACCAGAGAGACCAGAGGAGCGACCAGAGAGAGACCAGGGACGAGCTAGAGAGAGACCAGAGAGAGACCAGAGGAGAGACCAGAGAGTACCAGAGAGATACCAGAGAGAGACCGAGAGAGACCAGAGAGAGACCAGAAGAGCAGACCAGAGAGGATACCAGAGAGATCAGGAGGAGAGACCTGAGATGTGTGGACCAGGCGAGAGACCAGAGAGATACCAGAGAGGAGACCGAGAGAGGCCAGAGAGAGACCAGAGAGATACAGAGAGGAGGACAGGGGAGACCAGAGAGAGACCAGGGACGAGACCAGAGAGAGGACCAGAGAGAGACCAGAGCGGAGACCAGAGATGGACCAGAGAGAGACAGAGAGAGACCAGAGACAGAGACCAGGGTGACGACAAGAGCAGATACCCAGAGAGTAGACCAGAGAGAGGCCAGAGCGATACACGAGAGAGATCAGGGAGGAGACCAGAGAGAGGACAGGGAGAGACCAGAGGATACCAGAGAGAGACCAGAGAGGGCCAGAGAGGGACCAGCGAGATACCAGAGAGAGACCAGGGACGAGACCAGAGGCGAGAGACAGGGAGAGACCAGGAGAGAGACCAGAGATGGGAACCAGGAGAAGAGGCCAGAGACGAGACCAGAGAGATGCCAGAGAGAGACCAGGGAGAGCCAGAGAGAGACCAGGGAGATACAGGAGACGAGACCAGAGAGAGACCAGAGAGAGACCAGAGATGGACCCGAGAGAGACCAGAGAGAGACCAGTGAGGAGAGACCAGAGAGATACCAGAGAAGAGACTCAGGAGATGAGAACCAGAGAGAAGAGAGACAGGAGAGAGACAGAGATGGACAGAGAGAGGACCAGAGACGAGACCAGCGAGCCAGAGAGAGGACCAGAGGACACAGAGAGAAGACAAAGATAGAAGACCGGCGAGAGACAAGTGGAGACGCCGTTGTGGACTACGACCTGTCCCAGTGGATCTGGACACCTCCAGACAGACCCGTTTGTGGAGAAACCTAGGGACTTTGTGTCTGAGTTCCTGACCTGCGAGTGTGGGTGGCCCCCCCATGGACTTCAGAACAACCACGGTTCGTGTGTCTCCAGAAGCGATCGATCTCTCGAGCTCTGCCTCATCGGACTCAGCTGCCAGGACGATGACACAGAGTACAGAGGAGTTATACAGGACTTTGTGACGAGAAACGCTCCAAGGAGATGAACCACCTCCTCAATCCACAGAAGCACCAAGGAGGTGTTTTACAACCACTCTCATCAACAGACGCCCCAGGAGATGAAACCACTCCTCATCACAGAAGACAAGGAGATGAACCACCCTCCTCCTCAACAGAAGACCAATGAGCATGAACCACCTCTCATCAACAGAGACCAAGGAGATGAAACCTCCTCCTCATCAACAGAAGACAGGGATGAACACCTCTCATCAACAGAGACAAGGGATGAACAACCTTTCATCACAGAAGGACAAGGAGATGGAACCACATCCTCATCAACAGAAGTCCAAGGAGATGAACCACCGCCTCCATCAACAGAAGGACAAGGAGAAGTACCACCTCTCATCAACGATGACCAGGAGAGAACCACTCCTCATCAACAGAAGACCAAGGAGATGAAACCACCTCTCATCAACAGAAGACCACGGAGAGGAACCACCTTCTCATCAACAGAAGGCCAAGGAGAAGAACCACCTCCCTCATCAACGTGAGGAAGACCAAGGAGTGAACCACTCGCTCTCAACGCGGGAAGACTAAGAGATGGAACACTCCTCATCAACGCGGGGAAGACTAAGGAGATGAACCACCTCCTCATCAACGTGAGGAAAGACCAAGGAGATGGTGGTGGTTTTCCGCAGAGTCACTCTGCCGTCCAGCTCAGTGAACATCAGGGAGAAAAGGGACATCGAGGAAGTGGGATTTACAAGTACTGGGTGTTCAATCGAACCACAAAACGGACTGGAGTTCTAAACAGACGGCCCTCTTCAAGAAGAGGCCGAGCCGCCTCTACCCGGCTGAGGTGGCTCAGGTCTTTGGGTGCAGGGGGCCCACTCCTGAGACCTTCTATGAACTCTGTGGTGGAGCCTCTTGTACGGTGTGGACTGCTGGAACCGCAGGCATCCACAGAGAGGGACAGGAAGAAGCTGGATCAAGGTTATTCAGGAAAGTCCAGCTCAGTCCTGGGCTGTTCTGGACACAGTGCAAGCAGGTGGGGACAGGAGGGTCCTGAGCAAACTAAATCTATGCTGGACATGACTGTCGCCCCCTGCAGGACACGCTCTTGCTCTGGAGAAGCAGCTTTCAAGGTGACAGACTAATTCACCCTCTCTGTGTGAAGGGAGGTTTGAATGTCCTTCTTCCTGGCTGCTGTCAGACTGTACAACGAGAATGTGCAACAGGAACTGCTAATCACGTACTGAATAGTTCACTATAACTTTGTCCACTAACACTTTACTGTTATCAGTATCTCCTGTATTTTTAAGATCAGGATAATTCTGCCTTTCACCGTCACTTTACCTGGATATTTTTTCGATTGCTTATTTGCCTCATATTCATTTCTCGCTCTAAAGTACATATATACATCTGTAAATACTCCTGAACAAGTGCAGTTATAGCCCAAAGTTTATTTTATTCTTATTCTTATTTATTGTCTATTGTCTTAAAAAGTAGACTATTTGATGTGTGCAATCTGAGTGCTCTTATGTCCTCTCTCTGCTGTAATGTGCAACGATGCACTGACATTTCTCCCTGTGAGATAATAAATGTTATCTATATCAGAGGAGAGAGGGAGGCCCAACCCAGAGAGAGAGAGCAGAGAGAGAGACCAGGGAGAGAGACCAGAGAGATGAGAGCAGAGAGAGAGGACCAGAGAGAGAGCAGAGAGCGACCAGAGAGAGAGACCAGAGAGAGAGACAGCGGAGAGAGAGCAGAGACGAGAGCAGAGAGAGAGTCAAGAGAGAGACCAGGGAGACGAGAGCAAGAGATGAGATTGGGGAGGACAGAGAAGAGCAGAACAGAGAGAAGGAGACCAGAGAGGAGCAGAGAGAGACCAGAGAGAGAGACAGAGAGAGAGACCAGGAGAGATAGACCAGAGAGAGAGACCTAGGTGAGAGACCAGGTGAGCGAGAGCAAGAGAGCAGAGCAGAGAGAGAGCAGAGAGAGAGAGCAGAGGAGACCAGAGAGAGACCAGGGAGAGAGAGCAGAGAGAGAGCCGAAAGTGAGAGAGACAGAGAGAGACAGGGAGAGAGAGCAGAGAGAGGAGACCCGAGAGATGAAACAGAGAGAGAAGCAGAGAGAGGGACCAGGGGGGAGCGAGAGACCAGAGAGAGAGACCAGGTTTAGAGGAGGCAGAGAGAGCGCAGAGAGAGAGCAGAGAGAGAGAGAAGCAGAGAGAGACCAGAGATGAGACAGGGAGGAGTGCGAGAGGAGAGCAGACGAGAGAGCAGGAGAGGTGAGAGCAGAGGAGGAGAGCAGAGAAGAGACCAGAGAGAACACCACACACTTCTCCCTGTAGTGAGTTTTGGATCAGGCTGTGTCCACTGCTGATAGACCCAGTGTGCGTTCATTTCCTTATAACTTGAAACCAAAACAGCGTCATGTGGTGAGAACAAAACGCTTCCAGACTTTCCCCGAGAGCAAGTACGGCCCCTCTGGTTTCTCTGGAGTCCCCTCTCTCTCTTCTCTCTCTGTCTCTCTCTCTTGTCTTTGTCTCTCTCTCTGCGCTCTCTCTGGACTCACTTTGTCTCTCTCTCTGTCTCTCTCTGGTCTCTCTCTGGACTCTCTCTCGGTCTTCTCTCCCAGGTCTCTCTCTGGTCTCTCTCTGCTCTCTCTCTCTCTGCTCTCTCTCTGCTCTCTCTTGCTCTCTCTCCTGGTCTCTCTCTCTGGTCTCTCTCTCTGGTCTCTCTTGCTCTCTCTCGGTTTCTCTCTCTGGTCTCTCTCTCTGCTCTCTCTTCCTGGTCTCCTCTCTGGTCTCTCTCTCTGCTCTCTCTCTGCTCTCTCTCCCTGGTCTCTCTCTGGTCTCTCTCTGCTCTCTTCTCTGCTCTCTCTCTGCTCTCTCTCTGCTCTCGCTCCTGGTCTCTCTACCTGGTCTCTCCCCTCTCTGGTCTCTCTCTCTGGTCTCTCTCTCCGGTCTCTCTACTGGTCGCTCTTGCTCTTCTCTGGGTCTCTCTCTCTGGTCTCTCTCTGGGTCTCTCTCTCCTCTGCTCTCTCTCCCTGTCTGCTCTTGGCTCTCTCTCTGTCTCTCTCTGCTCTCTCTCCCCTGGTCTCTCTCTCTGGTCTCTCTCTCTGGTCTCTCTCTGCTCTCTCTCTGGTCTCTCTCCTGCTCTCTCACTCTGGACTCTTCTGGTCTCTCTCTCTGCTCTCTCTCTCTGGTATCTCTACTCTCTCTGAGATAAGATAAACCTTTATCTAGTCTCCAGTGGAGAAAATGTCAGTGTCATCGTGCACATTTACAGCAGAGAGAGGACATTAAGAGCACTCTAGATTGCCACAATCAAATAGTCTATTGTTTAAGACCAAGGACAATAAAATTAAAATAAGAATAAATAAACTTTGGGCTATTAACTGCACTTGGTTCAGTAGTATTTACGATGTCTATTTGTACTTTAGCAGAGGAGAATATGAATATGAGCAGGAATAAGCCATCGTAAAAAAATATTCACAGGTAAAGTGACGGTGAAGGCAGAATTATCAGATCTGTAATAATGCAGTAGTAGTATAACAGGTAAAGTGGATCGTGACAAAGGTTTATAGTGAATATCAGTGATGGGATTTGCAGTTCCTGTTGCACATTCTCGTTGTCAGTCTGACAGCTGCAGGGAGAAGGACTGTCAAACCTCTCCTTCACACAGCGGAGGGTGAATTAGTCTGTCACCGAGCTGCGTCTCAGAGCAGAGAGAGTGTCCTGCCGGGGGCGACAGTCATGGTCAGCCATAGATGTTAGTTTGCTCAGGACCATCCTTCCCCCACCTGCTGCACTGTGTCCAGTGGAACAGCCCAGGGACTGAGCTGGATTCCTGAAAACCTTGTCCAGCTTTCTTCCTGATCCTTCTGTGATTGCTGCTGTTCAGCAGACCACACGACAAGAGGCTCACCACAGAGTCATAGAAGGTCTTCAGAGTGGCACCTGCTATCAAAAGACCTGGCCTCTCAGCAGGTAGAGGCGGCTCTGGCCTTCTGAAGAGGGCGTCTGTGTTATGACTCCAGTCCAGTTTGTGGTTCAGATGAATACACCAGGTACTTGTAAGAGTCCACTTCTCGATGTCCTTCCCTGGTGTTCACTGGAGCTGGAGCGGCAGAGTGACGTCTGCCGGAATCCACACCATCTCCTTGGTCTTCCTCACGTGCTGAGGGAGGTGGTTCATTCCTTAGTCTTCCGCAGTTGATGAGGAGGTGGTTCATATCCCTTAGTCTTCCCCGCGTTGATGAGGAGGTGGTTCATCTCCTAGGTCTTCCTCACGTTGATGAGGAGGTGGTTCTTCTCCTGGCCTTCTGTTGATGAGAGGTTGTTCCTCTCCTTGGTCTTCTGTTGCATGAGGAGGTGGTTCTTTCTCCTTGTCTTCTGTTGATGAGGAGGTGGTCTTCTCCTTGGTCATCTGTTGATTGAGGAGGGGTTCTTCTTCCTGGTTTCTGTTGATGAGGAGGTGGTTCAACCTCCTTGGTCTTCTGTTGATGGAGGAGGTTTGTTCTTCTCCTTTGTATCTCTGTTGATGAGAAGGTGGTTCATCTCCTTGGTCTTTTCTGTTGATGGAGGGAGGTGGTCATTCCTTGGTCTTCTGTTGATGCGGAGGTGGTTCATCTCCTTGGTCCGTCGTTGATGAGGAGGTGGTTCATCTCCTTGGGTCTTCTGTGCATGAGGAGGTGGTTCATCACCTTGGTCTTCTGTTGATGAGGGGTGGTTCATTCTCCTTGGTCTTCTGTTGATGAGGAGGTGGTTCACCTCCTTGGTCTTCTGTTGATGAGGAGGTGGGTTCATCCTCCTTGGTCTTCTCGTCACAAAGTCTCTCTCTGGTCTCTCTCTGGTCTCTCTCTGGTCTCTCTCTGGTCTCTCTCTGGTCTCTCTTCTGGTCTCTCTCTTGGTCTTCTCTCTGGTCTCTCTCTGGTCTCTCTCTGGTCTCTCTCTCTGGTCTCTCTCTGGTCTCTCTCTGGGGTCTCTCTCTGGTCTCTCTCTCTGGTCTCTTCTCTGGTCTCTCTCTGGTCTCTCTCTGGTCTCTCTCTGGGTCTCTCTCTGGTCTCTCTCTGAGTCTCTCTCTCTGGTCTCTCTCTCTGGTCTCTCTCTCTGGTCTCTCTCTGGTATCTCTCTGGTCTCTCTCTGGTCTCTCTCTCTGGTCTCTCTCTGGTCTCTCTGGTCTCTCTCTGGTCTCTCTCTGGTCTCTCTCTGGTCTCTCTCTGGTCTCTCTCTGGTCTCTCTCTGGTCTCTCTCTGGTCTCTCTCTGGTCTCTCTCTGGTCTCTCTACTGGTCTCTCTCTCTGGTCTCTCTCTCTGGTCTCTCTCTGGTCTCTCTCTGGTCTCTCTCTGGTCTCTCTCTGGTCTCTCTCTGGTCTCTCTCTGGTCTCTCTGGTCTCTCTCTGGTCTCTCTCTGGTCTCTCTCTGGTCTCTCTCTGGTCTCTCTCTGGTCTCTCTCTGGTCTCTCTCTCTGGTCTCTCTCTGGTCTCTCTCTCTGGTCTCTCTCTGGTCTCTCTCTGGGTCTCTCTCTGGTCTCTCTTGGTCTCTCTCTGGGTCTCTCTCTGGTCTCTCTCTGGTCTCTCTCTGGTCTCTCTCTGGTCTCTCTTGGTCTCTCTCTGGTCTCTCTCTGGTCTCTCTCTGGTCTCTCTCTGGTCTCTCTCTTGGTCTCTCTCTGGTCTCTCTCTGGTCTCTCTCTGGTCTCTCTCTGGTCTCTCTCTGGTCTCTCTCTGGTCTCTCTCTGGTCTCTCTTGTCTCTCTGGTCTCTCTCTGGTCTCTCTCAGGTCTCTCTTGGTATCTCTCTGGTCTCTCTCTGGTCTCTCTCTGGTCTCTCTCTGGTCTCTCTCTGGTCTCTCTCTGGTCTCTCTCTGGTCTCTCTCTGGTCTCTCTCTGGTCTCTCTCTGGTCTCTCTCTTGGTCTCTCTCTCTGGTCTCTCTCTGGTCTCTCTCTGGTCTCTCTCTGGTCTCTCTCTGGTCTCTCTCTCTGGTCTCTCTCTGGTACTCTCTCTGGTCTCTCTCTGGTCTCTCTCTGGTCTCTCTCTGGTCTCTCTCTGGTCTCTCTCTCTGGTCTCTCTCTCTGGTCTCTCTCTGGTCTCTCTCTCTGGTCTCTCTCTGGTCTCTCTCTGGTCTCTCTCTGGTCTCTCTCTGGTCTCTCTCTGGTCTCTCTCTGGTCTCTCTCTGGTCTCTCTCTGGTCTCTCTCTGGTCTCTCTCTGGTCTCTCTCTGGTCTCTCTCTGGTCTCTCTCTGGTCTCTCTCTGGGTCTCTCTCTGGTCTCTCTCTGGTCTCTCTCTGGGTCTCTCTCTGGTCTCTCTCTGGTCTCTCTCTGGTCTCTCTCTGGTCTCTCTCTGGTCTCTCTCTGGTCTCTCTCTGGTCTCTCTCTCTGGTCTCTCTCTGGTCTCTCTCTGGTCTCTCTCTGGTCTCTCTCTGGTCTCTCTCTGGTCCTCTCTCTGGTCTCTCTCTGGTCTCTCTCTGGTCTCTCTCTGGTCTCTCTCTGGTCTCTCTCTCTGGTCTCTCTCTGGTCTCTCTCTGGTCTCTCTCTGGTCTCTCTCTGGTCTCTCTCTGGTCTCTCTCTGGTCTCTCTCTCTGGTCTCTCTCTGGTCTCTCTCTGGTCTCTCTCTGGTCTCTCTCTGGTCTCTCTCTGGTCTCTCTCTGGTCTCTCTCTGGTCTCTCTCTGGTCTCTCTCTGGTCTCTCTCCCTGGTCTCTCTCTGGTGGTCTCTCTGGTCTCTCTCTGCGTCTCTCTCTGGTCTCTCTCTTGGTCTCTCTCTGGTCTCTCTCTGGTCTCTCTCTCTGGTCTCTCTCTGGTCTCTCTCTGGTCTCGAGTTGGAACAGTCTCAGTCTCGAGAAGTCGCTTCCTGGTCTCAGAGTTGGAAACAGTCTCAGACTAGAGAAGTCGCTTCATGACTCAGAGTTGGTACAGTCTCAGACCTCAGAGATGTCGCTTCATGGTCTCAGCGTTGGAACAGTCTCCGACTCAGAGAAGTCGCTTCATGGTCTCAGAGTTAGAACAGTGTCAGACCAGAGAAGACGCTTCATGGTGTCAGAGTGTGGAACAAGTCTCAGACTCAGAGACAGTCGCTTCAATGGTCTCAGAGTTGGAAACAGTATCAGACCAGAGAAGTCGCTTATGAGTCTCAGAGTTGGCACAGTCTCAGACTCAGAGAAGTCGCTCATGGTCTCAGAGTTGGAACAGTCTCAGACTCAGGATAAGGCGCATCATGGTCTCAGAGTGTAGAACAGTGTCAGCCCTTCAGAGAGTCGTTCATGGTCTCAGAGTTGGAACAGTCTCAGACTCAGAGAGGGTGGGGGGGGGGGGGGGTGGGGGGGGGGGGGGGGGGGGGGGGGGGGGGGGGGGTGGGGGGGGGGGGGGGTGGGGGGGGGGCGGGGGGGGGGGGGGGGGGGGGGGGGGGGGGTGACGCTTCATGGTCTCAGAGTTGGAAACAGTCTCAGACTCAGAGAAGTCGCTTCATGGTCTCGAGTAGAAACAGTGTCAGACTCAGAGAAGTCGCTTCATGGTTCTCAGAGTTTAGAACAGTCTCAGACTCAGTGAAGTCGCTTCATGGTTCAGAGTTAGAACACGTCTCAGACTCAGAGAAGTCGCTTCATGGGTATCAGAGTTAGAAACAGTGTTCAGACTCAGAGAAGTCGCTTCAGGTATCAGAGTTGGAACAGCTCAGAACTCAGAGAAGTCAGTTCATGGTCTCAGAGTTAGAACAGTCTCAGAATCAGAGAAGTCGCTTCATAGGTCTCAGGTTGGAACAGTTCAGACTCAGGAAGTCGTTTCATGGTCTCAGCGTTAGAACAGTGTCAGACTCAGAGAAGATCGCTTCATGGTCTCAGAGGTTAGACAGTCTCAGACTCAGAGAAGTCGCTTCATGGTTCAGAGTTGGAACAGTCTCAGACTCAGAGAAGTCGCTTCATGGTCTCAGAGTTAGAACCGTCTCAGACTCAGAGAAGTCGCTTCATGGGCTCAGAGTTAGAACAGTCTCAGATCAGAAAAAGTCGCTTCATGGTCTCAGAGTTGGAACCTGTCTCAGGGACTAGGAGAAGTGCTTCATGGTCTCAGAGTTTGAACAGTCTCAGACTCAGAGAAGTCGCTCATGGTCTCCGTAGTTGGAACAGTCTCAGACTCAGAGATGTCGCTTTCATGGTCTCAGAGGTTAGAACAGTCTCAGACTCAGAGAAGTCGCATCATGGTCTCAGAGTTGGATCAGTCTCCAGACTCAGAGAAGACGCTTCTGGTCTCAGAGTTGGAACAGTCTCAGGACTCAGAGAGTCGATACATGTCTCAGAGTTTAGAACAGTCTCAGGATCAGAGAAGTCGCTTCATGGAATCGAGTTGAGAACAGTCTCAGACTCACAGTGGCTCTGACTTGTTACTCACAATGTTATTTATTGAAAATATGTGAAAAATCACTGGTATCCTGAACATGCGTGGACTGGACTGGGCTGGACTGGATGGACTAGACTGGGCTGACTTGTCTGGGCAGGAATGGGATGCGCTGGCTGGGCAGGGACTGAACTGGGCTGGACTGGGACTGGGTGGCTGACTTGGCAATACAACACACAAAAAACACATGCTCAGTATGATGTGTGCTGTGGATCGATTGTGTTGCTTTATTGGACTCTGTTAGAACGGGCGAGCATAACTAAAAAGTCACCCATGGAGGCGGCTGAGGCGAGGTTGGTGAGCAACTCATCAACCCGGCGACCAGGAGAGTCCGTGTCTCTCTCTGGTGTTTATGATTCTAGTTCTTTGTGATTATAATGTTTCTTTGTTTGGTTTGAGTGTCCTTCTGTTTGAACTGTGTCTAAAAATTAATCTTGCTCCGGCCCTTCTGCTCCGCCACTGGAGAGAGGGTCAGAGACAGGACAAGACTTCTAGTCCTCTCTCTGGTCTCTCTCTGGTCTCTCCCTGGGTATTTCCATGGTCTCTCTCTGGTCTCTCTCTGGTCTCTCCCTGTCTTTCATGGTCTCTCTCTGGTCTCTCTCTTGTCTCTCTCTGGGGTCTCTCCCTGGACTTTCCCTGGTCCCTCTTTGGTCTCTCTCCTGGTCTCTCATCTGGTCTTCCTGGTCATTCCATGGTCTCTCTCTGGTCTCTCTATTGTCTCTCTCTGGTCTCTCCTGGTCTTTCCCTAGTCTCTTTCTGGTCTCTCTCTGGTTTCTCCCGGTCTTTCTCTGGTCTCTCTTCTCTGGTTCACCTTCTGTCCATATCAGCCTATTCCCCCTATATAGGAAGCTTCACTTGTTGCTCTCATGTGTGTGGTGTGTGTGTGTGTGTGGTGTTGTGGCTTCTAATCAGTCCCTGTGAGTTACTGTTGACATTTGTGCGTCTCCTCCTTCATTATGTGACTGGGGCTGTTTTGTGCTCGCCCCCCCAGGATTAGCCACAAATCTCCACGCAGCCACATTCAGCCTCGCAAGTACTTTCACTTCATCATAATGGATGATGAGATTATAATCCAGTTGCGCACGAGACAGACACACACACACCACACGGACACACACCACACCTACACACCATTGACCGCACCACACACGGACACCACACCCACACCTGGACACCAACACACCCCACACACACACACACACACACCACATTGACACGCACACACACACGGACACACAACACACATGGACTCACAAACAAAACACACACACGACACAACAAAACCAAAGTCGGTTACCGAACATTTTAGGTTTTAGACTTTGCAGTTTGAGAGACATAGTCTCTCTCTCTGGTCTCTCTTTGTCACTTTCTGGTCTCTCTCTGGTCTCTCTCTCTGGACTCTCTTGGTCTCTCTCTGGTCTCCCCCTCTCTGGTCACTCTTGATTCTCTCTGGTCACTTTCTGGTCTCTCTCTGGTCTTGTCTGGTCTCTCCTCTCTGGTCTCTCTCTGGTCTCTGTCTGGTCTCTCTCTTGGTCTCTCTCTGGTCTCTCTTGGTTCTCTCTCTCTGGTCTCTCTTGGTCTCTCTCTTGGTTCCTCTCTGTCACTCTCTGGGTCTCTCACTGGTGTCTCTCTGTCTCTGTTGGTCTCTCTCTCTGGTCTCTCTCCACCCCCCCCCCCACCCCCCCTCCCCCCCAACCACCAACCCCCCGGTACTTACTGGTCTCTCTCCCCCCCCCCCACCCCCTCTTGGTCTCTTCTGGTCACTCTCTGGTCTCTCTCTGTCTGTCTCTCTGGGTCTCTCTCTGGTCACTCTCTGGTCTCTCTCTGGTGTCTCTCTTGGTCTCTGGTTGGTCGTCTTATGGTCTCTCTCTGTCTCTCTCTGGTCTCTCTCTCTGGTCTCTCTCTGGTCTCTCTCTTTTCCCTTATCTGGTCTCTCTCTGGTGTCTCCTCTGGTCTCTGTCTGGTCTCTCTCTCTGTCTCTCTCTGGTCTTGTCTGGTCTCTGTCTGTCTCTCTTTGGTTGTCTTGGTCTTGTCTGGGTCTCACTATAGTCTCTCTCTGGTCTCTTCTCTGGTCTCGCTCTGACTCTTCACTGGTCTCTCTCTGGTCTATCTCTGGTCTCTGTCTGGTCTCTCTTTCTGGTCTCTCTCTGGTCTCTCTCTGGTCTCTCTCTGGTCTCTCTCTGGTCTCTCTCTGGTCTCTCTCTCTGGTCTCTCTCTGGTCTCTCTCTCTGGTCTCTCTCTGGTCTCTCTCTGGTCGCTCTCTGTATCTCGGGTTGGTCTCTCTCTGGTCTCTCTCTGCGTCTCTCTCTGGCCACTCTCTGTATCTCTCTCTGGTCTCTGGTATGGTCTCCTCTTCTCTGGTCTCTCTTGGGTCTCTCTCTCTGGTCTCTCTCTGGTCTATCTCTGGTCTCTCTCTCTGGTCTCTCTCTCTGGTCTCTCTCTGGTCTCAGTCCTGGTCTCTCTTTCTGGTCTCTCTCTGGTCTCTCCTCTGGTCTCTCTCTCTGGTCTCTCTCTGGTCTCTCTAGGTCTCTCTGTCTGGGTCTCTCTCTGGTCTCTCTTCTGGTCTCTCTGTGGTCTCTCTCTGGTCTCTCTCTGTCTCTCTCTGGTCTCTCCTGTATTGTCCTCTCTCTGGTCGCTCTCTGGTCTCTCTCTGGTCTCTCTCTCTGGTCACTCTCTGGGTCTCTCTCTGGTCTCACTCTGGTCTCTCTCTCTGGTCTCTCTCTCTGGTCACTCTCTTGGTCTCTCTCTGGTCTCTCTCTGGTCACTCTTCCGGTCTCTCTTGGTCTCGCTCTGGTCCTCTCTCTGGTCTCTCCTCTGGACTCTCTCTCTGTCTTCTCTCCTCTGGTCTCTCTCTTGGTCTCTCTCTGGTCTCTCTCTCTTGGGTCTCTCTCTGGCTCTCTCCTCTCTGGTCTCTCTCTGTCTTCTCTCTCTGAGTCTCTCTCTGGTCTACTCTTCTGGTCTCTCTTCTGGGTCCTCTCTCTCTGTCTCTCTCTCGTGGTCTCTCTCTGGTCTCTCTCTGGTCGCTCATCTTGTCTCACACTCTTGTCTCTCTCTTGTCTCTCTTGGCACAAAGAAAGTTTCTGGTCTCTCTCTCGGCGCCTCGTCTCTATGGTATTTGGGAATGTAATATCTTTACAGACACCACACACACACACAACACTCACACACACACACACACAACACAAAACACACAACACACACACACACACACAAACACACACACACACACACACACAACACACACACACACACACACCCAAACACAATCGGAGCAGGCAAAAAAATTAACACTACAGAGGGACGGCGCTGTGTGCGTGTGTCTGTGTGTGTCTGTGTGTACTGGGTGTCTTTGTATTTGAGTCTGTGTGTGTGGTGATCTGTGTTGTCTGTGTGTGTGTGTGTGTGTGTGGTGTGTGTGTGTGTGTGTTGTGTGTCGTGTGTGTGTGTGTAAAGTTGTATATTTACATTCAAATACCATAGTTTAGTTTTATTTACGAGGCGCCTGACAGAGCGAGGGGACCGAGACAGGTGCCATAAGGACTCTTTCTTTGTTGCCAGAGAGACTAGAAAGAGACCAGAGAGAGACTAGAGAGAGACCAGAGAGAGACAGAGAGAGGGACCAGAGAGACACCAGAGAGATAGACCAGAGAGAGAACAGAGAGAGACCAGTGAGAGAGCCCAGCATAGTCAGAGAGTGATCAGAGGAGAGACCAGAGAGAGATGACCAGAGAGAGACCAGACGAGAGAGACCAGAGAGAGAGAGGACCAGAGAGAGACCACGAGAGTGACCAGAGAGAGAGACAGAGAAGAGACCAGAGAGAGACCCGAGAGAGACCAGAGAGAGACGGAGGTGACCAGAGAGAGACCCGGAGGTGGACCAGAGAGGACAGAGTGTAGAGAGACCAGAGAGAGACCAGAGAGTGTCCTAGGAGAGTGACCAGAGTCGCTTGTTGAGTGACCAGAGAGAGACAGAGAGAGACCAGGAGAGCGACCAGAGGCGACAGACAGAGAGACCAGACAGAGACCAGAGCGAGACCAGACAAGAGGTGACCAGAGAGAGACCAGAGAGAGACCAGAGAGGAGACCAGACGATGAGACCAGAGAGAGACCAGAGAAGAGGACAGAGAGAGACCAGAGAGAGGACCAGAGAGAGACCAGAAAGAGAGAGAGAGACCAGAGAGAGACCAGAGAGAGACCAGAGAGAGAGACAGAGAGAGACCAGGAGAGACCAGAGAGAGAGAGACCAGAGAGAGAGAGAGAGAGAACAGTAGAGAGACCAGAGAGAGACCAGAGAGAGACAGAGCGAGAGAGAGAGACCAGAGAGACCACGCGGAGAGAGACCAGAGAGAGACCAGGAGAGAGACCAGAGAGAGAGACCAGAGAGAGACCAGAGAGAGACCAGAGAGAGACCAGAGAGAGACCAGAGAGAGAGACCAGAGAGAGAGAGAGAGACCAAGAGAGACAGAGAGACCAGAGAGAGACCAGAGGAGAGAGACCAGAGAGTAGACCAGTGAGAGCCAGAGAGAGACAGAGAGAGACCAGAGAGAGAGACCAGAGAGAGAGACCAGAGAGAGACCAGAGAGAGACCAGAGAGAGCGAGATGAGACCAGAGAGAGACAGAGAGATGAGACCAGAGAGAGACCTAGAGAGAGACCAGAGAGAGAGACCCAGAGAGAGAGAGAGACCGAGAGAGACCAGAGAGTGACCAGAGAGAGACCAGAGAGAGACCAGAGAGAGACCAGAGAGAGAGAACAGAGAGAGACCAGAGAGAGACAGAGAGAGACCAGAGAGAGAGACCAGAGAGAGACCAGAGAGAGACCAGAGAGAGAGACCAGAGAGAGACCAGAGAGTAGAGACCAGAGAGAGACCAGAGAGCCCAGAGAGCGAGCCCAGACAAGAGCCAGAGAGAGACAGGGGGGAGAGAGACCAGGACAGATCCAGAGAGACCAGAAA